GGAGTTACATCTTTTGTCCCTATGAAGTGGTGGGACCAGAATTCAAATCCAGGTCAACCTGTTTTGTTTTTTTTGCCCACTGCAGAGTACTGAATATAAATGAAGCTTCCGAAGGGCTTGGACTCAGTACAGATTAAGCATGTTCAAAATACTCAGGTAATTGGCCATTTTCTTGACAGCATTCATTTGATAAGCAAATACCCTCATCATAGATGAAACAAAGATTTAATACTGAGTCAACCCACTGAAAACAGATAGATCCTCTGTGTGTATGTGTATATCTTATACCAGTTTCCATAGCTCTTGAAAAGTGTCCCCATGGTATCATACATTTTATTTGAATTCAAAATAATTAAATTGATATGATAAATGTCATTATGCTATCAAAATCCTAGTTTAGGTGGATTCGTGACCTATTCTAACATCCTCTGACAAGTGCCTTTATCCACTGCATGGAAATCTCCTTGAAAGGGCTGCACTTAATTGATTTTACAGCAAATTTACCTAAAATGGCAACTTACACATAATTATCCCTTAGCCCTCAATAAACGTTCAATTGAAGAGAATTGTTTCTTGTTCCATCACTGCAGATTTATCCCACCCTGTTTATTACTCAAGATATTTGAAAGACCCAGATTGTCAACCACAGGTTTAGTTTGCTATATTCCCCAACACTAAAGGCATTTTCTTGTCTAAAACTGAACGTCTCTATGGAGCTCCAGCTCTGCCTGGCATTACAGACATCAGAGTACAGGAGCCCTCTAGTGATGAATTAGGGATGTAGCTTTTCTTCTATGAAGAGTTTCTGTTATTACTCATATTAAGGTATAAAATATATGTATATTTAAAATAATGTAACAATCACTCATGTAGCCATCATCTAACTTCTGCAACTTGCTTTTTGTTACTCAACATTTCATCTGAGAGATTTATCTCTGTAGATGTTGTAGCACCAGCTTACTGATTCTTCACTAACTTACTTAATAGTTGCAATTTTTTCTATGATGAACAGTGTGCTATGAACATTCTTATGTATGTGTAATGTATATTTATAAATGCACATATTCATACATATAAATACATGTTTGTATGTGTGTATGTGTTTATTCCTGTTTATGTAGTCGAGAATTTATCTAGAATATATACCTGTAATGGTAATTCTGGACCATAGAGAGGCAGGTATTTAATTTTATTATTATTTCGAAATTTTGTCTCCAACATGACTGTGCTAGTTTACCTTCCCACCAGAAATTTGTGAGTCCCTGTGGCTCCATCTCTCACCAAAATTTGCATTTTAGATTGAGGAGCAAAAAATTGTATTCCAATGTGGTATTAGTATAAATTACTTATTACTAGTGACTTGTGTATATTTTCATATTTCTAATGACCATTTAGGTTTTCTCTTCTATAATTACCCTATTTATATATATATATCTTTTTTGTGCATTTTTCTATTGGGGTTATTTATAGAAATTATTTATATGTACAGCAAACTAATTCTTTTACATTTGTATGTGTTGCAAACACATTTACCTGAGTAAATTCCCAGTCAGTATCTAATCTTTTCCTTTTTATAATGTTATTTTTCATTTAGATATAGTTGAATTTTTAGTGTTATGTTTTGTGGATTCACATCTTCTTTAAATGTTTTTTCTGCATATCTGAGTCATAGATATTCTGCTATGTTTTACTCTCAAATCTTTACCATTTAAATCTTTATTGCCTTTGGAATTGATTTTTGTAAAATGTAATGTAAGAATACAATATTATTTTTTCATATGTATAAGCATTTATAGCACCACGGTTTATTGGGCCATTTTTCACTGGTGTACCTGTACTGTTTTCATGCATCAAGCTTCCACAAACTTGTGGGCCTGTTTGTGATTTGCTTTTCTCAGTTCCATTGATATATTTGTCTGCCCTCACACTAGTACCACATTGTCTCTATTATTATCACTTTATAATAAGTTCTGATATCTAGTAGGACAAGTTCTCACCTTACTTTTCTTTAAAATTGTCTTAGCTATTTTTAGATCTTTTTACTTCCTTATAAATTTCATAATAAGTTTGTCAAGGTTCACATGAGATTCTCTCTAGCATTTTATTGGAATTATATTGAATTCATAGATTAACATGGGGGAAAATGTAATGTTTACAATATTGAGTTTCTGTTTATGATCCTGGTCTATGTTTTGGTCTCCTTGAAGCCTTTAAGCAAAGGTTTATTTTATCAATAAGGATCATGAACATTCTTAGGTTTATATCTAGGTACTTTACTTTTGTTGCTACTGTAAATAAACCTTTTTAAATAATGTTATTTTAATTATTGCTGGTGAACAGAAATGCAATTGATTTTTAAATATTAAGCTAGTATCAAGTAATTATACTAGATTCACTAAGAATTTATCTGTCACTTCTCTAGGATTTTCTATAGAGACAATATATTATCTAAAAATAATAATAGTTGTGTTTCTTACTTTATAATCATTTTATCTTTAACTGCTCTGCATATCCTATTGCCCTGCCTAGGACTTCAGAAAAATATTGAATAGAGTCAGTCATAACAGGCATCCTTGTCATATTCCTTAATTTATAGGCACTGTGTCTCATGATTTGTTAGTAAGTATAATGTTTAGTCCTTCAATGTGGTAGATAACCGTTATCAAGTTAAGACAGTTCCCATCTATTTTCAATTTTGTTCTATCATAAAAGTTTACTGAATTCTTCCAAATAATTGCTCTTTGTCTCTTGAAGGGATCATATGACTTTTTTCTTTTAATGTATTAATATGACAAATTGTATCAATAAAATATCCAATGTTAAAAATACTTTCATTCCTGGGATAAATACAAATTGGTCTCCATCGCTGGTAGAAAATATTTTTTCCCTGCTTCTGAAGTTTGTTTCCTTCAAAGGGAGCTTAGTCTGTGTAATCCTGCACTTCCTATCCCCATGTTATTCACTGTGTTCCTAGAAAGATGGAGTGACATGTCTGATTGGTAAATCTGAGAACAACCTGGCATGCCGTCCTCTGCCCTTATCCTCAGGAGCAGCCTTCCTGCTGAATTCCTCCTTTCCCTGCATTACAGAGGAGCTTCCCCACCATGTGCAAGAGGCATATCCCAGTGACTGCCACCAAGACTGGGTAGATAAGCCTGTCTCCTTATGATGTTCACCGGAAACGAGTAACTTGGCTAATAAACTTCAAGTCTTCCCTCAGGTGTCTAAAGGTGATATTGTGGTCTCCATATATACACTATCTTTTATTTCTCAACTTGTTCAACTACTGGGGAAGGAAGAGAATAGCTATTTACTAGAGGCTCTTTGAGACTTTAGCAATTGTTTGTTTAATACATAGATAGATATGGTTAATTAATGTGTATTTTTAAGCTATTCGCATGTATGCCTTCACAAATGAGATTGGATCCAATTTTATTTTTACATATTTTATTTATTTTGGTTTAATGTTATGCTGACATGAACTGGAAAAAATGCTCTATTGTGATTTTCAGGAAAAGTACATATAATGTTAGAATTAGTTGTTCCATAAATATTTGGTAGAACTTCCCTGTAACACAGTTGGGTCAAGTGTTCGTGTGAGCAAGTTTTAAAATAACAAGTAAAACCATTAAATGGTTTAAAAACATCTAAATATTCCAGATGCACACACACATATACACACACACCAATAATCATCACTTTCTAAGCACTTATTCTGCTTTTTCTAAAAAAGAAAATACTGAGTAAACACAAAATAGCTATTTTTTAATTGTATATATGGTATAAAATATTGTGGTTCAGTAAACACCATGTGCCAGCAACTCAGTATAAGAAAGAAAATAAATTTTATTATTACATTTGATTCTTCTGGGTAAATGAGCTAGAAGCAGGAATGGACTTTATTCATTTTTTTCCCAAGGAATAAACCATAAAGTAAAAATTATGAATTATTGTTTCAAAAGTAAGGATTTTTCATCTATGAAGGACACCACAAACAAAGTTAATAGAGGAAAGAATGTGAGAAAAACTTGTCAAGTCAAGAACAAAGTATTCAAATCTAGATAAAAAAGAACATCTATAACTCATAGAAACATTAGGGAACGATATAAATAGGCAATTTACAGAAAAATAGAATCCCGAATTTTAAGAATATTAGACAGTGATGAAATTTATTTCTGGTTAGAAAAGAAACGAATAAAAATGAAATATCACTTTATACCTATTTTTCTGACCAAAGAATGTTAGGAAAATACCAGTGTTCACAAGGCACTGAAAATATGGGAACCCCCATGCATAATTAGTAGGAGTGTACACTGGTGCGTCCATTATGGAAAGTGATCTGAAAAAACTTAAGTTAAATGTGTGCATTGCCCTCAGACTAAAAATTTTTGTCCCTAATAATATGCCCTAGGAAAACGTTCATGCTGAGTTATTTGTAGTGGAGGCAAGTTGTAAGCAATCTACTATCCATCACTAGGAAACCATATAGGTAAATTATGATGGATGGACACCAGGGAGCATGCTACTCAATGTGTGGTCCATGGATCAGCTCCAATCCTTAGATTCTCTGTTTCTACTCTGTGGCAAGATAACCATTGAAAGTGAGATCTAGCATTTAAACTATTGCAGAATTTTGACAATGCTGAGATCTTTTTACAAGAACACTGAACGGCTACATTTGCAAATTTTACAAGGAAAATGATCCTTTACCGTAGATACTTTAATAAACACTTCTGTAAAGAACTCTACATGTCCGTGAGTCCATGATGGCCAGAACAGAATTAGGAGGCAAAAAGAGTAAGATGAGAATATGGAGCTAAATTAGAGCAAGTCATATAGACTCCATGGGTAAGTCAAGATATTCATAAATAATAATCTGTATATATGTAAATTTGGATATATTAATTAAAATGTATATAGCATAAAAGAAAATGTGGTTTTAAAAACTATCTTTTTAATATACTCTTTAATAGATGTATTTATGAAATGCCAATGTCAAGGTTCAGCATATTTAATCTTTGCTAGGCATGAAACAAAACAATGGCACTGAAGTGACTGAATTCATTCTCCTGGGATTTGCTGGCCAACACAAGTCTTGGCATATCCTCTTCATAATATTTCTACTGATCTATGTGGTTACCCTAGTGGGTAATATTGGCATGATCCTACTCATCAAGATTGATTCTTGCCTTCACACTCCTATGTATTTCTCCCTCCAACACCTGGCGTTTGTTGATCTCTGCTACACCTCTGCTATTACTCCCAAGATGTTGCAAAATTTTGTAGGGACAGAAAAATCCATCTCATTCATAGGATGTACAGTGCAATTACTAGTCTATGGTGTTTTTGCAACAAATGTCTGCTACATCCTGGCAGCTATGGTAGTAGATCATTATGTGGCCATCTGTAACCCTCTCCGCTATCCAACAGTCATGTCCCAGAGAGTCTGCATTCAACTCTTAGTTGGTTCCTACTTTATGGGTTTTCTAAATGCCTCTGTGAACACAGGTCTTATTTTCTCATTGAACTTTTGCAAATCCAATAAAAATAACCACTTTTTCTGTGATGAACCCCCAATTCTTGCCCTCTCATGCTCCAATATTTACTTCAACGTCATGCTACTAACAGTCTTTGTGGGGTTTAACTTGACATTCACTGTGTTGGTGGTCATCTTTTCCTACGTATATATCCTGACTGCCATCCTGAAGATGTCTTCTGCTGCAGGGAGGAAAAAAGCCTTCTCCACCTGTGCCTCCCATCTGACAGCAGTCACCATTTTCTATGGGACTCTCTCTTACATGTATCTGCACCATGGTGCCAATGAGTCTCAAGAGGAGGAAAAAGTGGCTTCTGTGTTTTATGGCATTATGATCCCCATGTTAAACCCCTAATCTACAGCCTGAGAAATCAAGATGTGAGAGAAGCCCTAAAAAGGATTGGAAAGAAGTGGTTCTAGTTTGAACTCTGATTTCTAACTTAACATGGTTCAACAAGCAAACCAACAGTTCTCTCTTATTTCTCAACAGCAGAAGATGTGGTAAATGTTTTTGAGATAGAAAAGCATTCCTTATTTATATCAATAGCATCTGAAAGATGTTGAAAAACATCTCAAATTATTAAATAAATAAGCTTCTAATTCATGTGTATCTTAAAGAGAATGCATTTGAAAAGAATATCTTCGATATTGCTTTTGTACATTTTGAGAAGTGCTTTTTTTAAATACCCTACATTAAAAAAGAAAAGTAAATTAAGGAGAAATGCATAATTTTTATTGTATCAGTGCCTCTATCAATGATATATAAGGAATTACCAGTATAAAAATCTTTTTTAGGGGGCTGGCCCCATGGCCAAGTGGTTAATTCCTCATGCTCCACTTGGGCGGCCCAGGGTTTTGCTGGTTCAGATCCTGGGCATGGACATGGCACCGCTACAAAGTTTTGCAACATCCGGCCATGCTGAGGTGGTGCCCCACATGCCACAACTAGAAGGACCCAAAACTGAAATCTGCTACTAGGTACTGGGGAGATTTGGGGAGAAAAAGCAGAAAAAATATTTTTTTTTTGTCTTCTCCTAAGAGGTACTATTATTACTCTTGGAATTTTTAAATAGCTAAGCTGCTTTACTATTGCAGAAAAAGTTTTTTTGAAACAGTCATTTTTTTGGAGGAAATATGCAGAAAAGAGTAGGAGAAAAGTATGGTTGAGTGAATCCCCACTGATTTGGGGACGTTTGAGGCCAGTATCCCTCCTTCTCTACATGTTCCCTAAACAATTAGGAAATTGACACTGGAGTCTGGAAGATGAGGGGCATACCAATTTTATAATTGGTAAATATAACTTGAATCTCCAGATATATCCTCTTGCAGGTGCACATCTTAGGAAAACAAAATCCAGTGCAGAGTTTGGTGCTACAGAGCAGACTCATTTATCCAGAATCAATGCTTTTTGTCTCTCAATCTCCAAGAATGAAGAGAGATGTAGGATTCTAAGTTGACTTCTAGAAGTCAAATAAGGACTCAGACCCTAGTGTTCTCACCTTTTTAATTCTCAAAAAAATAAAGCACACACATTCTATGAACAGGCTGTGTAAACATAAACTCTGACATTGCATGTTCAATGTCTTCTCCCAATATTGTTAGTTGGTTAAGCCATAGAGAGAAGCTAGTGGGAGGATTGACAGGAGTAGAGTTAACTACCTTTCCCAACATTTCCATGAGTTCCAAATCTGACTAAGGCAGGAACCCTGGGATAGGGAGCCAATCATAACCCAAACAATGCCAAGAGAATCCAGATGGTACCAGCTCATGCAGCAGAGTACATTACAAGAGAGGAATGACAAAATTAGGAAACTCTGATCTTATATAAGATTACTGGTGACTTGCCCATACTCCTCTTTGTAGAGAGAAACATTTCTACTCTGGAATGTAAGCAAATCCACTCCAGAGAAGGAAGAAGAATTTATCTGTATCTTTACCACCCCAAACCATCTCCAGGGAAGGAGATATCTCTATGTTTTACTATGCTGATACAAACATCCTTAAATATAATGACTGTAAAAGCCTTTTCTTAGAGGAACTGGATCATGCAGAAATGTAAAATATTTATAGAGAATCACTATACTTAGTAGTATAGTTTTAATATTCATAAAGTGAAAAAAACAGAAGACACAAAGACAAAAAAACACAGTAGTAAATGTTGTTTCACCTCTTCCTTTCCATGACAAATCAAGTTGAAAAAAATTTTAAGAGTAAGTTACCTATGGGAAAATACTGAAAGCATTCCTTTAAAGTCAAGAACAAGAAAAAGATGAACATGCTCAAGATTTTTCTTAAGATTAATCTGGAGCTGCTGATCAAATCATTTAGACTATAGAAATCCCTGAAAGGAATATAAATCAAAAAGGAGTAAAAATTGTTTTTTAAAGATGGCATGATTTTTTTTCTGGATATTCCAAGAAAATTAATTGTTACAATCAACAGAAGTCAGTAATTTGGCTAGACAAAAAATTAGATACATAAATCATTAGACTAAATGTAAAAGAAAAACAACAAACTAGATATAATAGAAGAAAAATCAATCAATTGTATATGTTAACAGAAAGTGGAAACAAATATTTTAAATACCATTTACATTAGCATCCAAAAGCTTGAAATACTTAGAGATAAATTTAACAAAATATGTATAATATCTGTATGAAGAAAGCTATGAACATTTATGAGAAAAATCAAAGAATCCTATATAAGCAGAAGATATACTGTGTTTAATGATTGGAGAACCCAATATTGTTAAAATATCAGTTCTCCCAAGATTGATCTATACTTTCAGTGAAATCCCAATCAAAATACCAACTGATTTTCTGTAAAAATTTACAAGCTGATTCTAAAACTTATTTGGAAATGTAAAAAACCTAGAAAAGTCAAAAAAACCTTTTTAGAATAAAGACCAAAGATATAGAACATACACAAGCTGATTTCAAGACTAACTATAAAGGTATAGTAAATAAACCAGTCTAGTAATAACATAAGGATAGACATTATTGACCAATGGAACAATATAGAGGATAAAAAAATAGATTAGCATATAACAGTAAATTGATTTTCAACAAAGGTACCAAGCCAATTGCAGGATGAAGTGATTGGATTTTCAAAAAGAAAAAGGTGCTGGACTGAATAGACAGAGAGAAAAAATATCCCAACCTTTATCTCATACTACACACAAAAATTAATTTTGAAAGTATCGTATACACATAAGGTATATTACATACAAATAGTAAATGCTAACGCTAAAAATTTCCAGAAGAAAAGATAGAAGAAAATCTCCATGACGTTGAAATATCAAAGATTTTTAGATAGGAAAACAAAAGCACAAACCGTATAATTAAAAAATTGATGTATTTGCATCATCAAAATTTAAAACTTCTGCTTTTCTTTTTTTTAAAAGATTTTATTTTTTTTCCTTTTTCTCCCCAAAGCCTCCCAGTACATAGTTGTATATTCTTTGTTGTGGGTCCTTCTAGTTGTGGCATGTGGGACGCTGCCTCAGCGTGGTTTGATGAGCAGTGCCATGTCCACGCCCAGGATTCGAACCAACGAAACACTGGGCTGCCTGCAGCAGAGTGCGTGAACTTAACCTCTTGGCCATGGGGCCAGCCCCTAAAACTTCTGCTTTTCTAAAGACATCAAAGAAATGAAAAAATATGCCACAGATTGAGAGAAAATTATATGTATTTATGACAAAGGTTTTGTATTCAGAGGTCATAAAGAACACTTACAACCCAATAATAGGAATGCCCATTTAAAAATGGGCAGTGATGACAGTGAAAATCTCAGAGTAAGATCATCTGAAAATCAACTTTTCCCTAAAAGCAATTAGAACACTGGCAATAAATAAACAAATAGATGATAGATAGATAGATAGATAGATAGACAATAGATAGATAGATGATAAAAACTGTCACAATCAACTTTTTCAGAACTCTGGAAATTAAACAAAGACTTGCAGCAATCCAGGGAGTATTTATTCAAGAAAAACAGTTGAGTCTTAGTAAAAATAGCTTTGAGGTGCTTTAATGTACCCTATTCTCATCCTCCCCTCCCCAGCTCCACAGGAGCCCTAAAAACCAACAGTTGGCAATCAGGTTAAAAAGCAGCAGCCTGGCAGCAAGTTGGAGCACATCAGAGTCGGTGCACTTTCAAAGCCCCATTCACAGAGAACTGTTATCGTTTGGTCTATTTGGTGGTTCTCTGGAAGGCTCCACTTGCAAGGCTGTCATTATTTGTCCTGACTTGAAGCTCATCTAAAGCAAAGAATGTTTTTCCTGAAGTCATGTATCAAAAGCAATCATAGACAATTAATTAACATTGCAGCTGCCTAACAATGTATGTAGGTAAGAGTTGGAGAAAACAGTAGACAAACCAAAAAGTTTAAAACAGGAGGCTCAGGAATGAAATATTTATAAGGGGTATTGAAAAGTTCCAATATATTCCTGAGACTCTTAAACACCATGAGCTCCATAGGGGTTGTGTGCATGTTCAGAATTGAACTAAGGAAGTCTTAAGTACTCACTCTGGCTAATCTTGAGGCTATTCTCAAGTAGCAGTTGAAGGCTGAGGTGGAGTTGTAATCCACCTGACTGAGAGTCAAAGACATTCCCCAACACACACTCAGAGACTGCTGGCAAATATTAAGAGACTTATTGGTCCCAGGTATTTAAATAATTCCCTTTTGAATCATTAGCTGATCACTAAGCTAATTGAGCAAAGACTTAAGTGACCACACATGACAGAGAATATACACTTTACAGAATTAGTTCAGAGAAGTCACTAAGCAAACAAACATTAGCAACAATAACAATGCTGGAGAGAAAGATAATCTGATTCAGAATTGCCACGTTATGTTATTTAAAATCTTCAGTTTCAACCAAAAACAAAGATCATGAGACATGCAAAGAAGGAAGAAAGTATGGCCTACACAGAGAGACAAAACAGTCAATAGAAACTGTCCCTGAGAAAACACAGACACTTATTAGACAAGACTATAAATAAGCTATTTTAAATATGTTTATAAAACTAAAAACAAAATTTTTCTAAAGCACTAAAGGAAATTATAAGACTAGGTTTCACCAAAAAGAGAATATCAATAAAAAGATAGAAATTATTTTTTAAAAATAGAAATACTAGAGTTAAAAAGTACAGTAACAGAAATGAAAAATTTACTAGGGAGACTCATCAGCAGATTTGAGCAGGCAGAAGAAAGAATCAGTTAACTTGAAGCCAAGTTAATTGAGATAATCCAGTCTAAAGAACAGAAAGAAAAAAGAATGAAGAAAAATGAACAGACTTTCAGACACCTATAAAACACCATCAAGCATACCAATGTAAGCATAATGAGAATATGAGGAGACCAGAGAGGGAAAGGGACAGAAGGCATATTTGAAGAAATATTGACTGAAAACTTC